AATTTAAAATTTTTTAAAATGTAAAATGTTACATAAATTACATATAGATTTACTATTTATGAGAAAAAAAAAAAAAACAATTATTAGGTGAAGGATTAGGATGCAAGGATTAGAATAAAAAAATTTATAATTAAACTAAATTTCTAATTAGTTTTATTTTAAACATATTTTTAAATTGTAAAATTAATCAATTTTTATTTTTTATTCAATTATTGTATTTGTTGCTAATTTATACGAAATAACCACAAGTTTTTCTTTTAGGAGAATGATGTTTAATAATAATAATAGAGGTTGTTCACTGACCAGGCAACCTTGAATTAGGATAAGTATTGTCTGATAAAATAATTTGATTTTTTTTTTTCTCTCATTTATTCACTTATATACAAATATATAATAACGTTAATAGTTTAATAATTAAGCAAAAAATTTAACATTTGATGGTAATATTACAAATATGCTAAAAATTTAAAATATCTGTAATTAAAGCTGAAATAAAATCACAGATTACCTAAAATTATAGTAACAAATTTAATTTTATTATAAATTTTAATGATTTTTTTTTTTTTTTTTTTTTTTTAGTCGAGGAGGGGAAAAAAAATAAATTTTTAAATAAACGAAAAGAAAAATTCTAATTTGTTTTTGAATAAAATTTGTAATGTGACAACCTCAGATTAAATTCCAATACTAAATTATTGAATTTCAACATTAATAATAAAAAATAATAAAATAAAATAATAATAATAACTGGTGTATTTTATTTAATTATCATACTTACATCAACTTGTTCTCGGTTTTTGTGTATATATTTAAAACAATCTAATTGAATCAACGCTAAAATTATTATTATTATTATTTTTTTAAAGCATCTTAAATTTTTTAAAATTATTATTTATATTATTATTATTATTATTATTAACAATATTTTATTTTATTTTATTTTAAGTACAATAACACAACAAGAATTATGTAACAAGAATTAGGCCCTATTGAAATAATAATATTTTTTTTAATTTTTTTTTTTTTTTTTTTGGTCATTTCTCAGGATGTTAATCAATCTGAGGTTGTAATGAGTTTTTTTTTTTTTTTTTTTTGCACATAATAATAATAATAATAATAATAATTAACATTTTTAAAACTACAGAAAAAATTATTTTTTAAACTACTTAATTCTACATTTAAAAGATAATAAATTACATATAAATAAATGAATTTACCTTTCTTTTTTTTTTTGTACATTCTACAAAGCAAATAATTAAATTAAAAACAACAACAACAAAAAAAAAAAAAAAAAGAAAGAAAAGAATTTTTTTTTTAACAATTTAAGATTTTAAAAAATAATGCTACTATGAGATTATTGTTCATTTTGTCTTACATTTTTCCCCTTGAGACAATGAGGAAAAACGCGAAACCAATGTTCATCTTTTTAATTTTGGTAAATTATATATATATTATTTATCCATAATCTCATTCAAACCTACATTTTTTTTTTTTTTATTAATAATTCACTTTCATTTGAATTTATATATTTATTTTTATAATTTATTTTTGTTGGCAGTTGATTAAGTTGCGCTTTTATTTATTTAATCTATCATAAGTTCAAAATGGACCGACCCTCTTCTTTCTAGGCGATCGTGGTGTATATTGTGCGCCCAAGCTTTGCATTCAATATTAATAAGTACTCCACCTAATTAAAATTTTATTATTATTATTATTATTAACGTAAGTAAAAATTTACAAAATGTTTCAATGTAAATAGTTATTAGAGTTCAATGGGTTAAAGTTTTTTTTTTTTTTTTTTTTTTTGTTTCATTTTAGGCACTTACTGACTGGTCTTTCGAAATAAACAGCAACTATCGGACTAAGGTATCCTTCATTATTTTCATATGGGAAAAAGTAACCTGGAAAACCGCGTTCTGGCATGTAATTAATTGGACCAATATTTTCAACATCGGCTGGATTTTCTCCTTCGCAAGTAACCCAAACGGTATTAACCTAAATATTTACAACTAAGTAATTATCATTTATCTTTTTTTTTTTTCTTATTTCAAAATGTCTCAATTATACCTTAAACCTTGTTAATTGTCGTTAAAAAAATTTTTTTTTTTTTTACTACTACTACTACTCACTGATTTAGCATTTCTTTGTTTCTGATCGTGTATATATCTTTTTAATTCTTCTGACATTTTTTCTGGTAAATCATCCGTATTATTGTAAAAAACAGGTTTCCATCCATAAATCTAATAAAACAAGAAATGTGTTAGATTTTAAATGAAATTAAAAAAAAAAAAAAAAAAAAAAAAAGGAAAATGTTTTGTGATTAAATGGGGGGGGTAGTTTCAGGTACGAACTTTATTCAATTTCAAAAAAATACAAGGTCCGCTGTGCTTAAAATTGTACGCATTTTCAGAAGTGCACGGATGCAAATCACGTATATTAACATCGCAAACTTTTCCAGGTTGTGGTGGACGATCATAATCGCATTGTTCAATATTGTGACCTCCAGGTTGTGTGCCCCTCTTCTTATATTCTATAATTTTAATAATTAATATCATATTTATTATTCGTTACAAAATATTATTCTCAATGGTTTATTGAGTGTTACCTTCAAGAAATTTGTCCAATTCATCTGTCCAATGTCTATAATTTTTTTCGTCGCTTGCTTTGAACCAAATAAGAGTACTTTCAACATTTGCATCAGGAGGCATAGGTCGAAAGCCAAGTCCTGCAATTAACAAAAAATTATTTATTTCTAAAAAAATAACAATGTCAACATGAAACACGACATAAAAGTTTTTTTTTTCTAAATAAAACCATTTTATTATTTTGCGATGAATACATTAAATATTTGTAGATTTTAGTCAAATGGTTTTCCAATAATTTAAAAAAAAAATTTAATCGAAAGGGGAAAATTTAAAAAAAAAAATTACCTGGATTACTTCCAATCAGAGATTCGTCTCCTTGCCATTTTGGTATTTTAGAGTCTAATGTTTGAAAAAAAACGACCATCATGGCTGAGAAAAAACCAGCGAGACCGGCATAGAAAATGACATAAAATAATAATATCTTTGCTGGAAACAAAAGAAAAAAAATTGTTATTAATATAGTAATTGTTTTATAAATGATCGTTTTATTATCAACGTGATAATAATAATTATTAACGCTAATGGAAAAAAAAAAATTTTTCATTATATAATAATACAAAAATTATTTAATATTTTTTTTGTTTTAAATTTCATTCCGCCATATTTGATTTATATATTTGCAAATAATTGGATGTATGCATGAATTTTTTGGTCATTGCGACATATTTATTACCCAAATAATTATTTATTAATTTTATAGTTGAAGAGAGAAAAAAAAAAATAATAATAATAATAATTTTTGTTAGATACTTGACAGAATGGTTTACTTGTTAATTAACCAGCTTAGCAATTAACAACGTTCAAGGGCCTTACCAATAAAATATAATTAACAGATTTTCCTGACAAAAAAAAAAAAAAAATATTGTCTCCAACCTATTAAATTTAATTTCTTTTTAAATTTAAATATTTGACAAATTTATTTAATAAAGAGATGAAATTACATACATGGTTTTATTTTTATAAAAAATTAAAAGTGAGAATGTGTAATATGAATAATAATAATAAATATTTACTAATTAATTTTATTTATTAAAATTAAATTAAAATTTTTAAATCCCCCCCTACGCCCATTTTATTTCAAAACTAAGAAAAAAAATAAATTTAAATTTAAAATGGAAAAAAAAGGTAAATTTTTTGTTTCTTTATTGATTTTCTTTGAATTTTTTTTTTTTTTAGAAAAAAAAAAAAGAAGAAGAAAATTGTTGTATAAAACGGGGGAAAACATTATAAAATTTTATAAAATGGTTAAATTTGTTTTTTAAAAATCAATATCGTATCCATTTTTAAATGATTGCCGTGAAACTTTTTACCGTTACAATTTTTTTTTTTTTTTTACATTTATACGTTTCCTTTTTTTTTATTTTATTTTATTTTATTTTTTTCATTTCTTCTCGATCGTTCGTCCTCCATTACTTAATAAAATTAAAAAATATTTAATGATTTTTAGGTATGATAGAAAAAAATAAATTCAGTTAAAGGACATAAAAAAAATTTTTTTTTTTTTTTCAATTTTACAATTTTATTTAATTTTTTAAGTATTCTAACGTTAAAAAATTTTTTTATTATTATTCGAAAAAAACGTTAAATGAACGTTTTTAAAGAAATATTTTTTTTTTTTTTGTTTGAATCAAATAATTATTTTTTAAATATCAAAACTTAATCAAAATTGATTAATAGAGGCCATATATTGACATCTGCCATTTTTCTTATTAAAGATTTTTTATATTAGGTTGTTATTCAAACCGAAAATTTTTTTTTATTTTTAATTTTTATTTCTGTTTTTTTAATCGTCTAGAATTTTCGATTTTATAAAATTTACAACAACAATAATAATAATTAAAAAAAAAAGAAAAGAAAAGAAAATTATTGGTAAACATTTTTATTTATTGATCACGCAAATGAATTTTTTTTTCAATTTTTCCTTTTTTTTCGGATTTCTAATAAATATCAGGTTTTTTTTTTTTTTTTTTTATTTAAATTAAATATTTTACGTTAATAAATTATTTATTTATAATAAATAAAATGATTTTTGTTAATTAAATTAATTTAATCGTTATTTAAATAATTTACCATTAAAATAATAAAAGAAAAAAAAAAAAAGAATTTTTTTATTTAATGAATTTTTTTTTTTTTTTTTTTTTCAAAAGTGGGAAAAAAATTAATTGATTTTATTATATAACGTTTTTTTTTTTTTTTTTTAATGCGAGTTGTAATAAATTAAATATTGGGATAAAACGACGAAAAAATAAATTTAATGATGGTAAAATAATAATAATGATAAATATTTTAGGTATGTAAAATAATAAATATTTAAAAAAAAAAGGTTTAAGGTTAATAAAAAAAAAAATGAAAAATTTTAAATAGAACAATGGCGACTGGAAAAAACTGTTATTGCAAGGGAGTTTGCTCTTGGAAATATTTTCTGAAAATTCTGTTCACTCTCGCGAAAATCGACTCATTTGGCCTTGAACCTTTTTTTTTTTTTTTAACAGTTAATAAAAAAAAAAAAAAAATTTTCTTTTTTCCTTTTTTTTTAATGATTTTTACATAAAATTTTGATGGAAATTCTTTAATTGATTTTTTTCATACACATTTAAATTTTTATTTAATAATTATCATTATTATTATTATATTCACTTGATTATTTTAAATTTAATTTTTTTTTTGGGAAAAATGGGTCAAAATTTTTACATTTTCCCAAAAAAGGTTTTTTTTTTTTTTCATTTAATTTATTATAAGGGGGGAAAATAATAAGAAGATTATCATTATTAAGGTACACACATATATATGAAAAAATTCAAAAAAAAAATAACGATTAAGGTATTAAAATGGTTTAAAAAAAAAAGGTTTTTTTAAATAAATTAAAAAAGAAAAAAAACTCACCCCAACTGGAGCCTGTTCTACCAAGAAATTGGCTTGTTTCTGAATTCCATAAAAATTGTTTAAACGATTGCCATTTTCCAATTTTCGGTGGCGGAGTATAAAATTGTTGTTCTATGGCCTTATTTTTTTCAGACATTTTTTTTCCGTATTTTCAGAAATTTTTCTTTTTTTTTTACCCAACAACAATATATATATATAAAAAAAAAAAAAAAAAAAAAAAAAACTTAGTGAGAGAAAGAGAGAAAAAGAAAAGTCACCCTTCAATAAACGATAAAAAAAAAATGAAGAAGGGTGCAACTGTGATAACTGTCAGGGATTTTATAGATCGTATGAGCTGTCGAGCCTTCGACCAGAGAAACTCTACCGCGCATATACTGTCCGACACATCCGAGTCTCTTATTTCACGCGATATTGCCTTGAATTTTGTTCGCCATCTATCGCCCCGTAATTGACCAACTTACCTTATCGACCAATAAATATTCTTTCCATATTTAAATATGGCGGACTAAATAATATTCAATAAAGTCCATTTGACATTTTTTTTTATTTATTTATTTATTCCATTTTAAAATTATATTGATTTAAAATAATTCGACATATCCCTCTTAAAATTTAATTTTAACCGAAACTTTTTTCTTTTTTTTGATAAATTGTTTAATTTAAATTAAAAAAAGATAAATAATTAGCTCATTATGTCCAAAATCCTCTATTATTATTATAGTTTAAAGTATTTGACTTTAAATTTTTTTTTATTGATTAAAATACTTAAAATAAAATTTAATGTAATTTTCGTTTATCACGTGTAGAGTATTTCTTTTTTTTTTAAATTTTATGAAGGTAGAAAACGATTTAAATTCAGAAAACGAAATTTTTTTCTAAAAACATATTAAATTTTATAATAAATTTTTTTTGTAGACTTATAAACGTTATGAAGGAAAATGTTTTTTTCTTATAAAAAAAAGAAATTTTAAAGTTTTATGTTTAATAAAATTTAAATAATAAATTTAATTTCATTAAAAAGTAGTAAATATATATATTAAAAAAATAATATATAACTTTCAGGCAGAAATATAAAAAAATTTATTAATTTTCTCTTGTAAAAAAATTTTTTTAATTAGTCAAACTATTATCATTATAATAATAATTAATTATACATAAGAAAATTAAAATTATTTTTTTACTGAAATGAACCTTTTATAAAAAAAAACATTATTTTTAAACAAGTGTAATTAAGGTGTAAAAAAAATTTTAAAAAAAATGACAATTAAAAAAATTTTTATACTGAAAAAATTTCCTTTACATGAATTAAAGGTAAAAATTATAGATTTAAGTAAATTTTTCAAATGGCTTGTGTCCTCCATAGTTTTTAAATTTTATCCTTAATTTAAATAAATCTTATTAAATGCTATGACATGCTGAAATAAAAAAAAAGTCATATGAAATTATTATTTGATTCTTTCATTATAAATTTTAAACACATTTATATAATTTTTACCTTTCGATTAATGAGGCTCTCATGGCGGTAGTGATAGCAGAAGGTTGAGCTTCATTTAATTTAAAAACACTTTCTATAACTGATATTTCAGTAGAAGTTGTATCCATTCCACAAAATGCAGACCAATCATTGACTACCATACCTGCTGCTATGACATCTGAACCTCTATTAACTGTGCCAGCCTAATTAAAAGTAATTATAATTTTAATAACATTGATAGGAAGGCTAAAAATCTTTGTTGATGACATTTAATAGCTTTCATATTAAGAATTACTTACAACTAAGGGAACCTGTAGCAATGATGATAATTCATCTTGATCTTGAATTGAGGTTTTCGGATGAACTAACCCTCCATTATTGGATAATATTGTGTAAGAGCCGACTAAAACATTTGATGCGACTGTATGGCGAAATACTTCTACACTTAAAACATCAGATAAAATTTCTTCTGTTTCTCTGTCTAAATCTGGATGTACTAGGGCTACATAATCATTACAAGTAATTACATTTCCTAAGGCTGATAACCTTTCTTCCACTCTTTGAATTTTGACAGAGTCTGGCAGAGAGTTTCGTAAATGTTGTAATTCTGTATCTGTGGTTGTATTAGGGACAAGCAAACCATTTTTATTTCCAACGCACATACGTCCAATTATTCGACAACCTCCTATGGAAGAATGAATGACTGGTATACTTTCGGATAATTCTGCTTCGAAAACACTGTAAATAAAGTATCTACTTTATTATAAAATCCCAAAAACTATAAAACAAAGTAGATTATGGTGGTATAATATTCGTTAACGACTGTCGTTCAATTTTTAATTTTATATTACAAAATAATTACCTACAATCATGCAACGAACCGGGTATAACGAAAACGTGCCAAAATAAAATATGAACAAAGTTACCTGTAAAAGTTTTCAGATCCTCCAATAGCAACGAGACAATAAGAGTTTGTTAATTTTGAAAAAACTCCAACTTCATTATTATTTTCAAATTGAACCCGCACAGCCATAACAAAATTTACTATAACCGTAAATTGAATTTTATAAATTTAAGTTGATTCTTTAGAACGTCTGCAACAAGACGCTTAAACGAGTCGTTTAAATACTGTGACGTCATGTCCATCTATCGGAGTTGTGTATGTGTTAATTCAGAGTAAGTTTTGTTTTACTATAATTTTTGTTATTTTATATGAAACCTTAAAAATATCATTCAGAATTGATTTAATATTTATAAGGGTTTTACCGTTATCAGTCATGTAACAAAAAAATTATTTCAAACACAAAGTTTTTTAATAATTTTTTGAATTTTTTATTATTGCTAACTTATCAGAAAGTTTGTAAAACAAGCTGATATTGCAATTTTACCTTATTAAATATGCGTTTAATTATCGTAAAATGAATAAGTAATTTCGTTAACTCAATTTTTATTTTATTTCTTTTACAGATATTGTCAATTAATAAGTGTTTAGTTTTTTTATTATTATTGTATTGAATTGTTAATAAAACTAAACTTAAATAATTGTCAATTCACAAAAGAAGTCAATATAAGACAAATATTTTAGTATCTTTATATAAACTGTTTAAAAGTTTTACTTACTTAAAATAAAATGTTAGGAAATATTTTACTGTGTTTTTTGTTAATATTATTAATTAGGATATTTTGGAGTGTATTGTTTAAAAACAGAGATAAAATTTTTAAAAAAACAGCACGAGTTCTTGTTGTAATGGGATCTGGAGGACATACTCTTGAGATGTTAAAATTAATTAAAAATTTAAATCAAAATTTATATCAACCGCGCCTATATGTTATAGCAGAAGCTGATAACTTCAGTAAATACAAAATTGAAGAATTTGAAAAAATGTCAAAAACTATTTCAAATGATAACTTTATTATTTTAGAAATTCCTAGAAGTCGAAAAGTAAATCAATCTTATTTCACTTCTGTTATTACTACATTATATTCAACATTGAAAAGTGTACCAATTGTTTTCAATTTTAAGCCAGATCTTATTCTTTGTAATGGTCCTGGAACTTGTGTTCCCATCTGTGGTGTAGGATTTCTTTTAAACACATTATTTTTGCTAAAAACTAAAATAATTTTCATCGAAAGCATTTGTCGTACAAAAACTCTATCATTGTCAGGGAAAATTTTATTGTACTTAGCAAATGTTGTGATAGTTCAATGGTTAGAATTATATAAGAAATACCCTAAAACTCTTTTTTTAGGAAGACTTGTATAATTTGAAATAAATGCTTTGTTGACAAAAAAAAAAAATTTTAAGTGATTTTTATTTTTAATTTAATTGAAATATAAACTTCCAGACATTAAAATATGCCATTAAAAGGAATTAAGGTTTTAGAATTAGCTGGCTTAGCTCCATCTCCTTTTTGTGGAGCAATATTAGCTGATTTTGGTGCTTCAGTTATTAGAATCGATAAAGTAAGGGAAAAAATTATTGTTTTAATTTTTTTTTTAGAGTTTTCATAGGTGTTTAGTTATTTACTCTTTTTTTTTATAGATCTCTTCATCTTCTACAGCAGATTGTTTAAGTAATGGTAAAAAGTCACTTGCATTGAATCTTAAAGATGAGGAAGGGAAAAATATATTTAAAAAACTTTCTTCAAATGCTGATGTTTTACTCGAGCCATTTAGAAAGGGAGTTATGGAAAGTCTTGAATTAGGTCCAGAAAATTTGATGAAATCAAATCCTCGTTTGATTTATGCTAGATTGAGTGGTTTCGGACAGTATGGTTTATACTCATCAAGAGCAGGCCATGACATTAATTTTTTAAGTGTATCTGGGGTTTTGTCATTTTTGGGTAGATATAATGAAAAACCCACACCTCCAGTTAATTTACTCGCAGATTTCGGTGGGGGAGGATTATTATGTGCATTGGGAATAGTTTTAGCATTATTTGAGAGAACAAAATCAAATAAAGGGCAAATTATTGATTGTTCCATGGTAGAAGGTGTTGCTTATTTAAGCAGTTGGCTTTTTAGGAGTCAAAAGCTGCCAATTTGGGGAAATGAAAGAGGTTTAAATATATTAGATACTGGTTCGCATTTTTATGATACTTATGAAACGAAAGATGGAAAGTTTTTAGCAGTTGGTGCTTTAGAAACTCAGTTTTATAAAATTTTAACAGACCATTTAAAATCGAATGATTTAAGTGACCAGTGGTCGGATTTCTCTAAGAAGAAAAAAATCATTACAGATATATTTAAAACGAAAAATAGAGATGAATGGTGTGAAATATTTGACAATGTCGATGCCTGTGTTACTCCAGTTTTGGACAAAACTGAAGTTGGTGATCATGTTCATAATAAAGAAAGAGAATCATTTACCAGATTAACAGATGGTACAATGATTCCCAATCCCGCGCCAAAATTAAGCAGAACACCTGGAGTAACAAAAGCAAAAGTTTCTCACGTAGAAAATGGTTTTAATTCAGAGGAAATTTTATTAGAACTTGGTTATAATAAGGAGGAAATTAAAGAATTGGATTTAAATGGCGTTATTAAAATTATAACAAGTTCTAAACTTTAGTAATAAGTTAAAAATTACTAATTCTAATGAAATTTTAATTGTGTACAATTGGTTCATAGGAAATTTGGGGGAAAAGGGAAAAATAATATAATCACAGAAAGTTTTATATTAAGAAAAAAATCTTTTTTATTTTTTTTATTAAAGTTATAATAAGTGTTTAAAAAAAATGCTTTGGAAAAAATTAACCGTTAGTAAAAAATTTTTATAAAAATATTTTGAGCAATAAATTTACATAAATATATATATTACGTAAGTATAAATTTTTCAATTAATATTATTTACTTTCTAATTAGCAAAAAATTTAATTATTTTAAAATACTATTTAAGCTATCGATAAATTCTAAAGAATGATTCATGTTACCTTTAAATTTGACTATATCTAAAAAATCGACATCATTTTCTAGCATTTTAAAAATCGTTAAAGCTTTTTTCAAATCAAATTTAATATGATTTTCACCAAAACGCCATGTTCCAACCACTGAAAATTTTTCTTTCTTTTTCAATGTCTCTAATCTTTTTTTTATTATAAACATAAGGAATTTATAAAAAAAATTATAATCAAATCCGAAATTTGATGAAAGAATTAGTTGGCACTGAGAAGACCAATTATCCATGTCTTTACAATCAGAAATTTCATTTTTCACATCCGATAAATTTTTTTTCAAGGAGTTCCATATAAAATGAATGTTGCAACCATTTATCCAATTATGATTTATTGAAATAGCATCTTCCTAAATAAATTTTTAGGAAAAACAAATTTAAATAAAAGGATTTTATTGAAAATGATCTGTTTTAATTTTCTTTTTGTACTAACCAAATTCCAAACTTGATGATGCCATCCTGAAGGTACAAATAATCCTTGTCCTTCTTCTTGTATAATATCAAAAAATAAAAATTCCTTCGATTTTTCTATATTAATTTTATTTAAATCAATATCGTAATTCAAGTTCCCTAACTGGTCCATGAAAAATTTTTCTTTTCCAGGTGGGAATAGTATCCATCTTTTTTTACCTGTAATATTGATTGACCAACTGTATGATGTGAATACATCTACATGAAAAGGCGTCCTGTAAAAAACAATTTATATATAATTCCAAATAAAAGTAAAATTTTTCAACTTTTAAATAAATTCATGCATACCAAGAATTTTTAGGTCCTATATATACAAAACGATAATCATCTTTGAGATCTGGATTATTATCATAATATTCATTTAACCAATCCGATGCAAAATAACAGGGAACTCTGTAAACATTTTCATATGGAAACTCCTTGACAAAATGTCAGTCTTTTAAATATAAGCATTCTTTTTGATTTGATAATTTCTTATAAGATTCCCAGTAATCCAAGTAATTGAATAAAGTCATTGTAGACTTTTGTTGTACGTTAAATTCCCTTTTCCCACAATTTGATACAGGAACATCTATATTGGTGTAACGGTTTCTAAAATATTCAACATTGAGTGATTTGTGTTTTACCCAATCTGAACTACAAGGCCAATTATCAGTCATGTTTTTAATAAGGCAAGGTTTATTCGATAATAAATATGTTTGAAAAAAATGAGTATAATTCATGTTATTGTCTAAAAGTGGAATATTATCTTCATCGTTTGTAATTTCAGCAGGTATTAAATCAGGATTACTGATTTCTAAAATAGCACTTTCCATTTTTTTTTTTTTGTTCTTACTCTGAAAAAGTAATAATAATAATATTTAATACAAAAATAGAGGTTATCTATAATTTATCGAAAAAATGAAAAAAAATTAATATTTACTATACTATAAGCAAAGAAAACTATGTGCAGCACCAGATCCTACCAATTTAACATTTGAAATTTTTTTTAACATATGTGGTGTAAGCAAGTCTTCTGAGCTATCATTACCACAATTTCCATGTTCATTCCAACCCCAAGTAAATACAGTTCCAGACTCTGTAAGTGCGACTGAATGATGAGAGCCAAGCGATATTTGTTTAATTCTATTTAAACTTTTTAATGGGCTAGGTACCCATGCATTCTCTCTTTCTTCTCCTAACTGCCCTAAATCATTTCTTCCCCATGTAATTAAGTGCCCTTCATCTAAAAAAAAAAAATCAGTTTCGTCAATTGCTTGCAATATAAGAATTTTTTTATTTTTTCTAAATTTAATGCAAGAAAAATAAAGAAAGATGTGTGTGTGTGTGTGTGTCTGTTAATTAATTATTTTTTAAAATTGTAAAATAATATTAATTTAAACAATATTTAATCACAAATAGCCAACCTGTAAGTATAGAATTATGAGCCCAACCACTAAATAATTGACTACAACTAGGATTTTTTACTTTTAAAAATAATTTTTTTGGCGTGGAAAGAAAAGTAACTATACTTGGGTCAAATCCAAGTTGTCCATATTTATTATTTCCCCATGAGTAAAATTCCCCATTGGTAGTTTGGGCAATACAATGACATTCACCACAAGATACATCCTGACAATTGTCAATACCCTCAACTAAAAAAACTTTTAATTGTAACACATTTGTAAAATAAAATTATTATTGTGATTCTCATTCAGTGCTGTACCTTTTGTAAATTTATCAATCTTAACAGGAATACTATTGTTAAAACACAAACCTAATTGACCCTTTCTACCATAACCTGATGTAAAAACTATTCCCTTTGTATCGATAATAACAGAATGTCTTAGGCCAGCTTTAATTTGCAATGCTTCATTACTAAATATAACAGTTGGGGTACTTATGTATTTAATTTTTTCTAAAGGCAATCCTAATTGTCCAAAAGAATTTGAACCCCAACCCAAAACATTAAAATTTTCAGTTAAAGCTAAATTAAAATCCCAACCACAAGCTACTTTTAAAACTTTAATAGAAGAATTTATTGGCTGAAATACATGTAATGCAATGGTAGATAACTTTCGCCCCAGTTGTCCTTTGTCATTATCACCACAAATAAATACATCATTGGTAGAAGTTATTAAAACTGTGTGTTTTCCACCTCCAGTGATGCATTTAGCTTCTACACTGAAGTCTATCTCAGTTGGAACTAATAACTGATCAATGAGACTTCCTTGACCTAATTGGCCATGAGAGTTGCTTCCCTAAAATTAAATACTTTTGTGAGCTGTTAAAAAAAGGGAATAAAAACATTAATCATGAGCTCCACACTGGTTGATGACAGTATCTAATTAAATACTCTCAAACTCGTAATTTAATCTTTAAAAACTTTTTTTTCATCATAACCCTATTTTTATAAGCTTTTAACAAATTACTAATGCTACACAATGTAGGCAATTGTAAAAATTTTTTTGATGTTAACAAATTATAAATCAGAAATCAAGTTAAACCTTACAGATAAAATTAACTGAATACTTAAACATGTATTTTGTAAAAATTAATGTTGAAAAACATTTTTAAACGAAACAAATTTTGTTTTCACATAAAAGAGCCAAAAATAAACTAACCCACGATAAAACCTTCATACTTAAAATTTTCAATGATCAAAGAATATTGCACCCCTGAATGCAGTTAAAGCGATTTCAAAAGAACCATCCAAATACAGACTTTTGCAGACTTAAATTTTTCATTCCTAAAAACTTAAGAATAGTACAGGATCAGCAGTTTTAAATAAAAATTATTTCTATTTATATTTAAAATAAATTAGGATAAATAAAAGAAAGTTATTCTTCACACGGTAAAATACCTTTTAATTATTAAAAATAAAAATACTTGATCTCACTATAACAAAACTCTTGCTTAAAAAATAAGTTTTTTTTTTTTTTTGAAAAAGTAAATGATAATTTATATACTCTATGACATTAGTGGACGTGGTCTTAGAGTTAGCTTCCATGATTAATGTTTTGATGTTGTGTTCGTGTTGCACGTAAGTTTAAGAAAAAAAAATATATTTATATTTTTCAAAGGGCATTTAAAAGAGTTTTTATTGTTTCAATTTTATTTTTATTCTTATAATCGAACAAAATTTTCGAAAATATATTATCTTACAAATATTATTCAATTTTTTCTTTTCTGTTTTTTTTTTTTACAATACAATTCATTGAAATAAATTTTCTTTTAAGATGGACATTTTTAAAGTAAGGACAAAAAGTTAAAAGCATATTATTTAACTTATAAAATTTTCCTTGAATTTTTAATTACGTTTATAAGCATTTAATTTAAAAAATTCGTTTATAATTAATTTTAGATTTTAATTTAAATTGAATGAGTTTTTTTCTTATTTTCACAGGGTAATCAGACTAACCATATAAACGTCATGAAATAAGAATTTATAAATAGTATTAAATGATAAAAGTCTTATACATAAACTGGTAATATATTGTTTCTGTAAATAATATTACAGAATTTATAATTTTTACAGTAGAAAAAATTATGAGACAAAAATTTCTATAAAAATTGATTTAATAGTTTACTATAAATCATTTTTAAAACTAATGAACTATGACTGTGATTTAATGAATATTGTATTTCATGAAAAGTAAGATTTTTCGATTAATAATATTTTGATAATATTAACCAAAGTAAAATCATGGACTGTAATTTAGAAACTGATACTAGTGCACAAGAAAAACTATGTAACCCAGTAAATGGGGAAAGCGAAATTCAAGATGAAAATTTCGATACTTTTCTGGGTTCAAATTTAACAACTAAGCATGAATCATCTACTCTAAATTCTTCGGATAAAACAGATTCTTATTCTCCAAAGTCACCAGTAAGATCAAGAAGCTCAAGTAGAGAATCGGAAAAATCTAATAAAAGTTTGAGCAATACTTCCGATACATCCGAAAAGAAAAGTAGAAAGTCTGAAAATGAAACTCTCAATTTTGTTGAAGCAGATGCAGAGTTAACAAAAATTAATTCATCAGAAAATAATGTAGATTGCAATGAAAAACAAAACTCAACTGATCAAGATGTAACCACTTGTTATGAAAATAATTGTGATGACAGCAATGTGAATTTACACAACGGCAATGTGGAACAAGATAATAGAAGGTCCAGGAGTGGTTCAAATACTTCAAGAAAATCTAATAGTAAATCACCCGATTTAAGAAAATCTAGGAGTAATTCTGTTACATCTGTAAAAAGCGAATCAGCAAAATCTAGAAGATCAAGAAGTGGTTCAGCTGCATCAAAACATTCAAGAAACGGTTCACCTGCATCTAGAAGATCAAGAAGTGGCTCTGCTGCATCAAGACGTTCTAGAAGTGGTTCAGCTGCATCTAGGCGATCAAGAAGTGGCTCAGTTGTATCAAAACACTCAAGAAATGGTTCACCTGCATCTAGGCGGTCAAGAAGTGGATCTGCTGCTTCAAAACGTTCACGAAGTGGTTCTGCCGCATCAAAGCGTTCACGAAGTGGATCTGCCGCATCAAAACGATCACGAAGTGGTTCTGCTGCGTCCAGACGTTCCCGAAGTGGTTCTGCTGCGTCCAGACGTTCCCGAAGTGGTTCTGCTGCGTCTAGACGTTCTAGAAGTGGTTCCGCTGCATCCAGACGTTCTAGAAGTGGGTCTGCTGGATCGAAACGTTCCCGAAGTGGTTCTGCTGCATCGAAACGTTCACGAAGTGGTTCTGCTGCATCGAAACGTTCACGAAGTGGTTCTGCTGCATCGAAACGTTCACGAAGTGGATCCGCTACATCGAAACGTTCACGAAGTGGATCTGCCGCATCAAAACGTTCACGAAGTGGATCTGCCGCATCAAAACGATCACGAAGTGGTTCAGCTGTGTCCAGACGTTCAAGAAGTGGTTCTGCTGCATCGAAACGTTCACGAAGTGGGTCTGCTGCATCCAGACGTTCCCGAAGTGGTTCTAAAGGATCAAATAGATCACGAAGCAATTCAAAAGAATCCGATCGCTCTAGAAGTGGTTCTCGAAAGTCGCGTTCTAGGTCTACTTCTCCGTCTGGCTCTGAAAAAATATCACGGAAACGTAAACAATTATTATCGGATTCTGAGGAAGAAGAAGTTGTTAAAAAAAAAAAACCTTTGTCTGACAATGAAGAAGATGATGTAGAAAAAGAAAATGTCGAAGATGAACAGGCAAAGACGGAAACTAATGAGGAAAATACGAATGAAAATAATGAAGCTATACTTCCGACAATGTCTGATGATTCAAACGATGGTATTGAGCCATCTAGCAGGTAAATAATAATAATAATAAAATCAAAACATGTAAATATTAAAAAAAAAAAAAAAAAAGGGTATACATACTTATTGTTAATTTCCAGTTTGGACATGCTTTCCGATTTTGATTTAATGCTTCAAAAAAAGAAAGAAGAGCAAACTAAGAGAAAAAGACGGAAAGATATTGATATTATTAATGACAATGACGATATAATTGCTCAGTTGATAGGAGATATGAAAGGAGCAGCAGAAGTAAATATTAAACAAAATTTTTTTTTTTTTGCATTATTGAAGTCTTTATGTATTTGATTTTTAATTTAATCCTAATGTCCTTGATTTACAGGAGGATAGAAAGTTAAATCAAGAAATGCAACCGGCAACAAATAAAATAGCCATGCTACCAACCGTAATGTCCCAATTAAAGAAACATGATTTGCAATTAGCTTTCATCGAACATAATGTCTTATCAGTTTTAACCGATTGGTTAGCTCCTATGCCAGACAGGAGTTTACCTTCTCTTAGAATTCGTGAAAACATATTGAAATTGTTAAGTGAATTTCCTAGGGTGGATCAGTCAACATTGAAACACTCCGGCATCGGGAAAGCCATTATGTATTTATATAAACATCCGAAAGAAACAAAGGAAAATAAGGAGAGAGCCGGGAAATTAATTAACGAATGGGCAAGACCCATATTTAATTTGTCGACGGATTTTAAAGGTTTAATATCACTATTAAATATTAATTAGTACAATTTTTTCAAAAATTATTTATGATTCATGTTTATTGCAGCAATGTCTAGGGAAGAAAGACTGCAAAGAGATTTGGAACAAAATCCAAAAAGACTTAGATCTTCGAACGATACCTCTTACAGTGAAGACAAAGATATTAGCAAAGCTTTTAAGGACGATGGTAAACCTTTAAGACCTGGAGATAAGGGTTGGGTTGCCAGAGCCAGAGTTCCGTTACCTTCGACAAAAGATTACGTAAATCGACCCAAATGGAAAGTCGATACCGATATTAGCAGAGTAAGCAAAATATTTGTAGTTTGGGGGTGGGGCGGGGAAGGGGATGGGGAAATTAATCAACGCAATATTTAAATAAATTATTTTTATGTTTTTTTTTTTTTTTTTTTACAGTCGACGAAAAAACAAATGAATCGATTTGAAAGGCACATGAAAAATTATATAGATAATAAAAGACTCAAACAATCTAGAAGAGCAGTTGAAATATCAATAGAAGGAAGAAAAATGGCTTTGTAATTTTTATTTTTTTAATAATATTATATTAGCTAAAGTAAATATTTTTTTTTGTTTTATTTTGTGTGTCCATTAATAATGGTAATAAAAATAATAATTAAAAATAAAATAAAATTTTTAATTTAAAATGAAAATAATAGGCATGTAATTTTTTACTTCAAAATAAGATGGTGTACATCATAATATAAATTATTTAGGAGCCTCGATCAACTTATTTTTTTTATTATTATAACTTACGTTTTGAATATTTATCGATTGAAAAAAATAAATAAATAGTTTATTTAATAAATTTTTAAGAAATTTATATATATATAAGGGAAAAATTGCCATTAAAATAATACAATTTAGAAAATATCTTTTTATTTAATTATTAAATATAATTATTTTTCGTTTAAGATAGTTTTTTATTTAAACTAAAAATATTATTATTATTTCAATAATATTTTTTTATTATTATTTAATTTTAATTAAATACATTACAAGTGTATATACTAAATAAATGAACGAACCATTTTACACATAAAAAAAATTAAATACAAATTTTTCATTTGTAATTTATTTTTTAAACTAATCTTAAACACTTTTAAGATTTTTTTTTTACTTTTACGAAATTTTTATCATTTCAAATAAAAAATTATTTTCCATTTTTTATTTAATTAAAGCACAAAACATTTAAATTTTTGTCAAATAACTCACTCTCAATGTGTATTAAACAAAAAAAAAAAAGAAACCCTTAACAAAGAAAAATTTAGATAAATTTAGTTATTCTCAAAATTTTCATTAAAATTTTCTCTAAATCAAAAAAAAAAAAAAAAAAAATTAAATTTTACTAATTTAAATAATATTTTTTTAAGGTTATCATATATATAATTTTTTTTCTTTTTTTTTACATTAGTTTTATTATTATTTTTTTTTTTTTTCAACTTTTAAAAAAAGACAAAATTATAGACGTTTAGATTTATAAACCTTTTATTATTATTTTTTTTCTCTCATCTTTTTTATAAAGCAGATCGATGATTAATTATTATTATTATTATTCCTTTGAAATCATTTTAAGTAATATATTAATCTACTTTTACAACGCTGTAGATTTTTCGAACAAACCAAAAACATGCAAAAAATCCAATTGTGCCTGAAAAAAAAAAAAAAAAAAAATTTATTTCAAATATTTAATAATGTTTTAGAAAAAAATGAATTTTTTTTTTTTTGTAAACTTACCGGTTAGTAAGAAAAAAAGGAATACAATGATTAAGGTATAACCAAAGTATAAAAATGTGGACGCAGCATCTTCAATACTTAGCTTTGTTACAAAGTAATGAATGCAGTAAATAAACAAATAAAATGCGGTAAAACCACTCGTTAAGAAACTTCTCCACCACCAATGATAATCCTATAATTATTATTAATTTGTAAGAAGTCTTAAAAATGATTTTTTTTATTTAAAAAAAAAAAAAAAAACCTGAATGCGTACCTCAGCACAGAGATGAAAGTAACACAATAATATTGTTGTTTCTGAACAAGTTATTACCAATATTAAAAATACGAGAAATAAAAATCCAAACATATAATACATTTGGCTCGACCTGAAAATCAATTAAATGATAGTAATAATAATTTTTTTTTTTTTAAATTTAAACCTTAGGTATATAAGGTATTTTTCATTAAATTACATTCAAAAATTTTTACGGCGGCATTTACCACGTTCAAAATCAAACCACGTGTTTATAATAAAACTATTCAAGTAATATAAATAGTAATAATAATAATAATAATTACCATAGGGAATTTAAAATAAAAAATAGTTGAATAAATATACAACCAAAGGGTAAAACACCTCCCATCACGACTCCCGGCAATGGTTGAGTGTAAATACTTTGATCAGGTATCTGTCTAGGAATCTGATTGGTTCGAACTGGATGTTCGATGGGCTGAAAAATATCATTTATAACATATATATCAATTATCGAATGGGTACAAGTGCTAAAATGGATAAGTTATAACGGTAAATAATATTTTCACAGGTGATGAGTACCCTTTTGGTAAAACCGAAATACGCTCCCACAAAGGTGAGGGGAACTGATACGCAAAGCCAAAGTGCTAAAAGAGCAACTAAAGTTGAAAAAGGCACTGCAGCCGAACTTCCTTCACCCCAAAGAACTAAATCCATGACAAAAAATAAAACAAAAACTATTCTGAAATAATGAAAACAAAAATAAATTTAATTTCAAATTTTTTTTTTTTTAAAAAGTATAGATAAGTTTTCAAAAGAAAATTTAATTATTATTATTATTTTTTAGGATTTACCCGGGAGCAAGCATCGAAGTAAGTAATACGTTAGATTTCCACTTATCACCACCAAAGCTTTTGTAGATTCTCGACGATACGTATCCGGCTGGTGTCCCCAAACAAACATAGAGAACAAGTGCACAAGTCATTAACGCTCCTCTATTTGCAGGTGAGAGAAATCCAAGGCAGGCGAAAGCTAAACATAAATAATAAGAAAACAATTTAAACAAGCCTTTATCATACAAAAAATAAAAAAAAAATAAAAAAAAAAAATTATGACGTACCCAATGTTACTAGTGTCATACAAAAAACTTGAGTTCCAGAACCTAAAAATACGGATAAAAGCATTCCTTTTCTCGGGGGTCTAAAAACATCTCCGTGAACCAATTTCCAACCAAATTCCTCTTGTGCATCCTCTCCTGAATCGATTTGATTATATCTAGAAATATCTTTATGAAGTGTTCGTAACATAATCATGGCGACCATTCCGGAGAGAAACAATACAATAACCATTGAATTTAAAATACTAAACCACTGAATATTCGTGTGGGGCATTGATTCCAGAATGTAATCCCATCTTGATGACCATTTAACTTTATCATTTTCCTTTAAAAAATATATATTAATATTAAAAAATAAAAACTAATTAATTATATTGTATCAATTTGTAATGGTACTAACCAGAAATGTAACATTGTAAGTATATGTAATACTAAAATTTGTTCCTTTTTCTGGAGTGTTTAATTTAAATGAAAGGGGTTCTGCTGAAAGAGAACAATCTGGATGTCTTGGGTCCTTATGACGTATGCTTCGAGGTGTAACTTTGACAGCTAAAAAAGTAAAAATAATTTATTAAAGAAAAACAATGTTAATATTATTAAATAATTGCTTTTTCTGCACCTCTTTAAAACAAAGTTGACCTTGTACTTACAAATGATACGACCTCCCTTGCTTTTAAATGAAGAACCCCATTCTTCTTTTTCTCCACTGTGATAACTAATAACCAAGTCAACATGGTTGGTAATGTAATAAGTATCTGGTTCTCTGTAGGATTTCTAGCAAAAAAAAAAAAAAACAAATATTTTTTATTAATAAAAATTTCATTAAATGTCCACAACTCTGTTAAACATATAATTTGTTAAATTTTTTTTCCAAAAGATTTAAATTTTATTTTAACATTACTACGATAATGATATTATAGAGCACAAAAAAACTCACATCGATACTACATTCCCTTGATCCCTTCCCAACAAAGCAGCCCATTGGGAACCCTGTATTACAATATTGTTTACCTCCCTCTAACATGTGGCACCAAGTTACAGGCATGTTGTCTGGACAAAGAAATTATTTAACACATTACATCAATCATACAAAAACAATAAAAAGTTATTAAAAAATTAATGAAATTTTAATGCTGCTTAATTATTTTCTTACCAACTATCCAATGATGTTGATAATTTAAACTTATTCCTTTTTTAATGAATAAAAGTTTTTCTATGTCTTCTTTGACTCCTGCTGTATAAGTTTTTGTACAAACAGGAACACATTTTTCTTCTTTTAAAAATTTTATTTTATAGGGTGAAGGTTGAATTCTTTCTCCGAAAACAACTTGCCCAAGGTTTTCAACTGGTGCTTTACTATCATCATTCGGTAGACAAAAATCAAAGCTGAAAAACATTTTGACATTTATTGAAATTAAGACAAAATTTAATGAGGAGAGAAATTTCCTGCAAAGAGGTAAATAAATTTTAAAAAAATATAAAAAACTTACTGTTTATACTCAAAGGGAAGGACGATTTGCTCAGTGTTCAGCCTGTTTACATATAATGGTATATCAGACTAAAAAAAATCAAAAGATGAAAATGTTTAGTGAGGTAAAAAGAAAAGACAAAAGAAATAGTATTCTTATAACAATTTCAATAGTTTTTATCTAACCTTACATCCGTGAGTTTGGTACTCTTCTTCGACACAATAATTTACAGGAGCTAACCCCGGCAAATAAAAACCAAAACCACCGTTTAAAAAAACCAACAAGAAAAGCGCTGATAAATTCATGATTAATTATAATAAAAAAAAATAAAATGTTAAATATATTCAAATTAAAAATGAATACATTTCATTTAAACATTTTTCAGGTTCTTTAAAATGTAATACTCGGTAGACACTGTAATATAATTGGTGTTATTATAATATCATAAAAAGACACGTCAAATTATTGTATATCTTAAACAAGAATGCTCATAAATAACATAGAGTTATGTCATAGAGTTAAAAAATATGTTTCTATTGGCACGATGATTGGAAAGCTATTTTCCTTTGAACCTTAATTATCAATTTCAATTTGATTAGTTTTAGCAAAAAAAAAGAAAAACCATGCAAATTAAATATGGGAAAACAACTTTAAATAAAATTAATTAAAAAATAATACGCACTTTTTATTTTTTATTTTTCTATAAAGCTTTATCATTTATTATCTTACAGTTTTTCCTGTAAATTTTTATTATTTAAAATTGTATTAAAAATAAAAAATTACATAATAATAAAATAGATAAAAGATAATTATTAAATTTTAATTTTAAAATAATATGTTTTTAATTACTTTAGGCTATTCTAATTTATTATTTTTGAAAATATATATTGAGTCAATTAATTTAATTTAATTTAATTGTTAAAAATATATGAATATTAATGATAAATGAATTTTTTATAAGATTTTAACTCAATGGAAAAAAATTAAAGATATACTTTTAATTTTGTGTCATGAGAAAAATTCATTAAACGGTTTAAAAAAAAAAAAAAAATAGTCTAACGGATTTGGATAATAATAATTGTAAATTTGCTTTATGATATGATATATTCAAATAAATTAATACCAAATCTTTTTTTTTTTTTAAATACTTGTAAGGATTTTTATTTATTGTTTGCTCGTAATGACACCACGTTAAATAAAATTAAATAAAAAAAGTTTTCCTTATGTCAACAATAGTATTCAAGAGAAAGAATCTTTTTTTATAAAAATTTTTTAACTGTATCATAAAAAGGAAGATAACAATAAGCAAACAAATTTAGTTTTTTTTTTTTTTTGAAATAAAAAATAAAAGATGCGAGATAAAATTTAAATGAATTCAAAAAAAAAAAAAAAAAAGTTAACAATTTATGTGCCAAAATGTCAAGAAAACAGTCACATATATTCTCAAAGATTAATTTTTACAAGATTTTCAATTTTAAAATTTCCATTTGAATTTCATTGTGACGGAGTTGTTTTTCAAAATGTCACGGCTTCCAACACAATTTCTATCACTTTTCATTGTCAAAAACTTCTTTAAATCCTCTCATCTGTTTTTTTTGTCCCCCCATTTTTTTTACCTCTGTACCTTATGTTTAATGCAAAAAAAAATTTTTTAAATATGAAATTAAATCATAAATAAAAAATTATTGATATTAAAATTATCATTTGGTGTCATCCCTGTGGATTCAATGGATTCCTTCTTCATTCCCATCACCAACAGCAACAGTTTTTCAAAATTTGGTTATTATTTGTTCTTCGGTAATAAAATATTTACGAGAAACCTAATATCATATTAATAATAATAATAGTAGAAAATCCTTTAGAAGTTTGGGGTTAAAGTAGGTGAAAAAAAAAAAAAATTATTTTCATGACTTAATTGTTGTTTTTCCCATAAAGAAGGTACCGAAATATTCTCTCAAAACGATTTTAAAATCCATAAATAAATAAATAAAAAATACATAATTATGTATCGTTTATTGAGCATAACTAATCATAATTAAATATATATAAATATATATATTTATATGTAATTAGTTTTTTTTTACCTGTAATTAAATAATGATTATAATGATTTTGTTGGAATTTGTTTTTCTTTTTAGGAACTGAATACAACAAACAAAACAACAATAATTTTTTTTTTTTTTTGTTTAAATATAACAAAGTACCTTACATATTTTTATATTTAAAAAATTTTTAAATAAATTAATTAATAATAAAAAAAAAATAACTTATAAAAATCACGAGTACTTTATCAGGTATGTTTATATATATATATATATATATATAAATGGAGTTACATAAATAGAAAAAATTAATTTATATAAAGAAAATAACTGGCTATAGATAATAAATAATTATAAATAATAGTATGGACGCGTAGGGTCTTTTAAATTTTCTTCCTTAACACCTTTTTTTTAAAAAAAAAAAAAAAAAAAAAAAAAAAAAAAAGAAAAAACCACGGTGGTCCGTCATGTCATAATGTCTTCATAAAGGCGTGAACGTTTTGTATAATGTCAACTTGGTCAAATTTGACTAGTTTTATCATTAGACGTTAGTCAGTCAGTCAGTCAGTCAGTCAATCAGTCAGTCAGTCAGTGAGTCGGTTGGTCGGTCGGTCGGTAAAAACAGTCACAGTCCTGAGCATTGTGTATGTTATTATTATTATTATTATTTAACGTTAAAAATTTTGAGTCCGTTTTTTTGTCTCTTCTCTCTCACATAGTAAAATTTTACGTTATCTTTGGTATAAAGCGCTTCTTATCGTAAGTCATTGAGTTAATTTGTTCAGCCCGTAATTTTTTTTTTTTCCTTTTTTCCTTTTTTTTTTTTTTTTTCCTTTTTCGAGTTTTCTTTTGTTGTCCCTCGTTTTTTTTTTTAGTTTCTGTTATTCACATAAGCTCTGTAAGCGAGCGAATGAGATCCGTGTGGGTCGGTATTGAACATTCTGTCGTGATGATCTGAGTGATGTTCATGGGCTACTACTTCGTAGGTATGATGATCGTGTTGATCTCCGCTGAAGAGTTTTTTCAAACCGATAACACCGACTAATACCAATGCGACTTTGGCGATCATTAGAGCTTTTAAGGCAAGAGCGGCCAAAGCCTTTAACGCTAAACCCATATGAGATGCAGCCCATAGTTTTCCAAGTATAAGATAAGGAAGAATTTTCTTTCCCTTTTTCCTGGCTGTAAACAACAAGAAAAAAGATATTTTTTTTTTTGATAAAATAAAATAAAATTTTCCACCACAAAAGTAGTAGAGCAATCTGGATACTTGATTACATCGACGTTTATCTCTCATTCTCGTCTAAAAATAAAAATTTTAATAATAATAATAATAATAATAATAAAACCAAATGAAATTCAAATATTAAAGAAAACTTTATATGTCATTCAGTGAATTTTTAATGTTTATACTTACTAAATACTTGTATATAAAAATATATTATAATATAATAATATATTATATTAACACAAAATTCACATATTTTAAAGGAGAAGAAGAAGAAAAAAAAAATTTTCTTATTGCAAGAAAATGCGCTTGAATTGCTGAATGTTTTTGAAATTGACACATGCATCGACGACATATTGAATAGTTTTCTTTTTTTATTTAAGATAATAAACTAAGGAGTAATTGGGGGAGAGGAGGGTTGTGTGTGTGTCTGTGTGGGTGGGTGTGGAAATATTTGAATTTCATTTCGTTAAAGCAAATTAAATTAAAATAAGTGTGTAAAAGCTGTTTTCTTTTGCGTCTATTCAATGAATACTAATAAATAATATATATAAAAAAGCAAATTTATATCATAAGCCTGGATAAAAATTTTATAGAAATAATAATAACTAAGAGAAATAAGAAAAGCAAGTTTTTTTTTAAAAAAAAATGATAAATCATAAGATAAAGCGAGCTAAGATATAAAATATTAAAACGGAAAAACGTCGGTTTTTCTTTTAATTATTCCGCGCCCCCCCCCTCTACGCCCTCCCTCTCTAATGCCCGCCTAAAAAAATTTTTCCCTTGTTTTTTGTTTTTAAAATTTTACTTACTTAAAAAATTTAAAATGTATCACTTGAATTGGGGCAAAAGAAAACAGCTTCGGAAGTGTTAATGGATCAGTGATCTCCTCCGTGGTGAGTGAGTTTCTTCAGACCAATGATGGCAGCGATAACAAGAGCTATCTTGCCGACAACTAAAGCTTTAGCTGCAATAGCTGCTATTCCCTTTAATGTTACTGCATACCACATGCTAGCCATATAAGCTCCCATGGCGAGAATCGGTAGTATTTTTTTCCCTTTTTTTCTTGCTGAAATCGGAAAAGTACAACATTAGCTGAAATTAAAAATCGTAGTGACAAATTCTATCCGAGAATTCTTCATCATCATCATCATCATCATCATCCAATCATTCCCAATAAGTGTATTGGAAGCTTAATTCTAAAACCTTTTTAAAATTAAAAAAAAAAAAATTTTTTTTTCCAAATTGGATTTATGGAACTGGACAGAAAAAATAAAAAAAATCAGGTGAAAAAGTTAATTTAATTATTATTATTATTATTAAGAGAATTTCAAAATAAAATTTAATTAATTTTTTTTTTTTTCAAATAAAATTATTCAAAATGGAAAAAAAAAAAAAAAACAAGTTTTTGAAATGTTGACCGAAATATAAATGGCAAGAATAGAAGGAGGGGGGGATGGTAGAGGAGAAGAGAAAATTTAAATTATAATTAATAATTTCATTTCTTCTTCTTCCCCCCTCTTTCCCCTCTTTCCCCTCCCGGCTAAATCCAGTTAAAAAAAAAAAACAATTTTGACATTCACTGTGAATTTTCATGTTTTTTTTTTTTTACGTTCATTCATAAAAAAAAAAATTATTACCATGTTCAAGTTTAACGGTCTTTACAAAAAAAAAAAAAATAATTATAATTAAATTCTAAAAAAATTTTTCTAAACACTAAAATAATAATAATAATAATAATAATATTTGAGTCAAGTGAAAGGAATATAATAATACTGGAAGAACAGGTCACCGCAAAAAAACTTGAATGTAAATTTTCTACGTTCGGAGCCACCGAAGGGGAATAAAAAACAAAAACCAGGTCAAACCGTTTCATCTGGTTTATAGTTGTCCGATTTGGTTCTTCATCCATCAACTGTAAGGTAACGACCTCGTCGTCGTGGTCATTCATTTTATAAAAAAGGATCCTAAACCTTAAAAACCTTATTATGATGTCATTAATGGCAAATTATCCAAAATAATAATCAAATCTTAATTTATCTTTTAATAATTAAGTTGTTAACACTTTTTTTTTTTTGTGATAAGATAACATCCGTTCCAGGTCGATGTTAATCGAAATATATAAAAAAAAAAGAAAATGTTTTCGTTGATATTTATGAAGTGTAAAATAATTTTGTCGCCATTAAATAATTAAAAAAGTTTTTTTTTTTTTTTTTTTAAGTGATATAAACTAGAAAGTCGAAGAAAAAAAAAAAAAAACTTTTCTAAAAAATTTACGTTAGTGACCGATTGTGTTTAAATAAATAAATAAAAATGGAGGATTCGAAAAAGGCATCGGAATTAACAGGGGAGGGGGGCGGGAAAAAGAAAAGTGTTTTGTTATCAAAAAAAAAGAAACTCACCTTCTACGACATCAGTAGAGTCATTGTCGGCGAAATTTAATTGAAGTTTGTGACCTTGAAAGAATTCAGTTAGTTTTCCCAAAATCATTTGATCCAAAGTTTCTTCTTTTTTCCCGAGTTCTCTAGGTAGACTTGCAACTAATTCTTCTTCGGTTAAGGCTCTGCCAGAACGGGCTCTCGAAGAAGCGTTGGCATCGGCAACGAGTGATAAACCATCGGTAAGAGATATGCTGTCCTTTCTGAGTACTCGATCCAAAAACGTGACCGCTTTGGCTTTTAAACAAACGGAAAATGGATCCCCGCTCGAACAATCGCTCAACATTCTTTGTATCATGTTGATTTGTTTGGATGGAAATGACCACCATGAAGATTCATCGTCGACTTCGTTTGTTTTTTGATTTTCTTGGTACGATCTTGGAACATCACTGAAATTATCATCGATCCTATTTGTCACGGAAGCACTCGTCAATACCAATAAACACGCACCAGTAAAACACAATAAAAAATTTCTCGAAATCATTTTAGTTATTTAAAAAAAAAAAAATTACTTTCGATTTCGATTCAATTTTTTTATTTTAGTATAAACCTAACTCTATGATGTCTCAGTTATTTTTGAAGTTCAATGTCAAGTGCAGCAGCTTTTATACATCGCCTTTAAAACTGATCCACATTTCCAGTTCCATACGTTGGCTATACCCCTACTCTAAAACCTCATAAAGATACCATCATACACGCCTCAGTAAAAGTTAATAACTGGTGCGGATAGACCAGTCCAGTCTACAATATTATCACTTTCTTTTAGATTTTTGTCAACCACCTTATTTGTGACACTTTTTTTTTTTTGTTTTTTTTTTGCCTTTTCTCTTTCCGTTCAAAATTTTTCTTATTTTCCCTTCCCCCCACTCCCCGCAAATTAACTATTAACAACTCGTTTTAATTTCATTCAAGGAAAAAAAAAAAACAAAATTTGAATTTTAGGTTATTATTATTATGGTCACTCTTAAACACGACAACATTCTTATATGTCGGGGTTGTTTTTGTGTCCAGGTTTCCACCCGACGATTCCTTACATATTATTATTATTATTATTAAAATTTTTGAACCTTTTTTTATTTATGGATATTTAATAACAACATTTGTTTATTAAAAGGATGAAAACGGTCGTAAAATAAAAAAAAAACTAATGATAGCTCATCAATCGTAAAAAAAAAAAAAAATTAATCGAGGGTAAATAAATAAAATGGCGTACTTTCTTTTATTTAATAAGTTTTTATTAATAAAATTATTAATAGTTCATTATTATTATTTATTTATAAAAATAAATAAAAAAGATAAACGCAAATAAATCTCGTAATTACAGGTCCGTGTTATACCGTGATAACAATAAATTGAAAAATTTTTTATCAATAAAATTATTAATGACAATAATAATAATAATAATACGTCATGGTAAATATGACGGGGTTTTAATTAAAGGGTTAATTATTAATAATAAAAAAAAGCAATAAAATAATAATAATAATAAATAGAAATCTATCCATCAAAATGGGTGGCAAGCAACGGGGCGTACCATGGGTCATTGTATTTAATTATTATTATTATTTGTTATAAACAATTTGAAATGTTATTTAAATCGATATATTTATTTATTTAACTTATTAATTAATTAATTATTATTATTATCACTTGTTAAAATAAATGAATGACGGACGGACGGACGGTATCAATGTGGAAACATCAAATTTTTTTTTTTTTTTAAATAATAAATTCAGGTTTTATTATCATCATTATTATTATTATTTTTTTAATGTATGTAAATATTAAGGTTTATTGTCCAAAGTGCGTGCGTGCGCGTGCGTGGGAATCGGAAAAAAATTTTTTTATTAACGGATTATTGTTGATAATTGATGGATGGACAATAAAAAAAAAAATTGCACGCATCCTGTTCTATATTTATTATAAGAAAAAAACGGATTATTTTTTGGCGGGAAAATTAAAATTATTATTATTATTATTATTTGATATCGATAAGAAAAATTTACGCGAGTGAAAATAATAATAATAAAATTTTTTACGAGTGAAAAGTAAATTAATTGAAAGTTTCCACGTTTGATTATGTCAATTAATTTTTTTTTAAAAAAAAAACTTCAACTTTCTAATAAAAAAAATTTTTTTTTCTCTTAAATAAGGTTTGAAATTATTTGCAATACAACAACAACCACAATAACAACAATCACAACAAACAACAACAACCACAACAAAAAAAAAAAAAAAATTAATCGGAAAATAAATTTTAATCAAAAAAAAAAAAAATTACAATTTAAATATTGACGACGACGACAACGACATACAATTTTTTTTTTTTCCCCATGAATAACCAATTATTTATCATCATTATTATTATTATTAATAATTAATCACGTGATTGTATTTTTATTAAATCTTCTTTTTTTTATATAATTATTGTAAAAATAGTTTTTGTAAAATCCAATTCGTAACACGAAAAAAAAAAAAAAAAAAAAAATTAAAGTTTTTTTCGTGATGACTTTCTTGTCATTGTCGTGGAATGAACGAACGAATGAATGAATGAATGAATGATTGAATGATTGAATGATTGATTGGTTTTATTATTGAAAGAGAGTTCACGGAAAAAAAAAGAAATTAATTGATTAAAAGTGTCGTTTAGGTTGCACGTAGGTATAACGGAGGATTAAATTTTTTTTTTTTGTCGCGGAAAATTAAAAAATTTTTTTTTACGTTCATTCATAAAAGATAGATGATGATAATGATGATGATGATGATGATGATGCGTGACCGTTTGTTGTTACAGACGAGGCCAATTCTAATTTTTTTACACAGTTTCCAGTTTTTTTTGAGATCCTGATTAATGTTGAATGACTGGTTTGCACTTATTTCCAATTTTCTTTTTTTTTTGTAAAATGAAAGTTACGCGGTGGTCACTTTATAATAGACTTTATATTGTATTACAGTAGATTTTAGGGTCATAGGTAGGTACCAGGTTCCGATTTATTATTATTATTATTATGGTAGCCAAATGGAAAGTTTATTTTTTTTATTTAATGACACCTGTTACTTTCGTCGATACTTCTTTTTTTTCGTGTGCCCTTTCCCTAATTCTGTAGTTGTTGTTGTTGTTGTTGTTGTTTTGACTAAATTCTCTTCTTTTTTTTTTTGAGGGGGGGGGTAATTATTTTTAAATTTATTAAATTTCAAAATTCTTGTTTTTAAAATGTATTTAAATTCCAAAACAAAAAATTTATTAATTAACACAAAATTGATAACTCCATCCACGAGTGATGATGATGATAATGATGATAAGAAATGTTATCAGTAAAATTTGATAAAATAAAATGTAAAAGTATTTATATTAATTGAAATATTAATTATGATAACAAACGGAAAGTAAAAATAATTTTGCAAAGAAAAGAAAATAATTTTTTTTTTTTGTAAAAGTGAGTGAAATTTTTATAGAAAAAGTCAAAAAAAAAAAAAAAAGAAATTTTTGCTATTATTCAAAAACGTTTTACTTTAATAATAATAATAATTAAATGTTTTTTAATTTTTTTTTACGACGTGGAATTAGGAAAATTAAAATAAATAATAACTTATCTAAAACCACGTGGGTTCATTATAATAATAAATAATTAAAGGACGTAAAAAAATAATTTTAATAATGATTTTTTTCGAAGATAAAAGTAAAAAAAAAAAAATTTTTAACGAGATTTAAATAATGTTTAACCTTTTGACCCCGAAAAGAAAATTTTTTCTTTTTCAAATCATTCATCCAGATGTTCTCCATACGAGAATTTTATTTCAAAAAAATTTTTTATTACGTAAAAAAAAAAAAAATTAACTATTGATGTGATATCGATACTTAATTATCATTATTATCATTTGTTTTTTTTTTTTCTGGAATTTTATATTCCCGTTAGTTTGTCTTTAAAATTGTTGGGGGCGGGGGGGACCAGACTCGTCACGGTCCTTTCGTTCAAATTCCTCCCTAATTTGAAAAAAAAAAAAAAAAAAAACTGGTAACTCATTTAAAATTAATCATGTAATTGGGTCATTAAATTTTAACATGCGAAAATTATTAAAAAATAATAATGATGATAATAATAATAATAAATGATATTCTCGGTTGTTGTTGTTGTTGTTTTGGAGGGAAATACATGTTTTAAAATTTTTTTTTGGTCGAGTGAATAAAGAATTTGGTAAAAGATTTTTCTATTGTTTAAAAAAAAAAAGTGTATTTTGCGGTCAATAGAAAAATTATTATTATTATTATTTATAATATACCTGTGATTAAGGATATTAATTTTACAATTAATATTATATATTTCATTCATTTTTATTATCCTCATCATTATTATTATTATTTTGAAAATGTAAAAAATTTTAAAATGGACGACCAACGAAAGATTGTAAAATAAATCAACTTTTAAACCGGACCTTAAAAAAAAAAAAAAAGTCAACTTCCTCTCTCGCAATGTGGTCTTCTTTGTATAACTTGTATCTGTTTTGTTGACCACTTTAATAATGATAATAATGATAATGATAATGATAATAATATTAATTAAACTTAATTATTATAACCAATAAAATGTTCAGTTAACACGAGCCTTAAGGCATTGAATTTTTTTTTATTTTATTAATTACGTGTTAAAAAAAAGGTTTCGAAGATGAAATCGATGATGATGATGATTATAGGTACGTACCAATTTTCACGACAGTAAAATATTATCATTATTATTATTACGACGTTTTTAATTTTAATATTAAATTAATTAAATATGATTTTCCTGGTATGAAAATAACAATATTAAAATCTCCGAAGGATGTTAAATATTTGCAAGTCTACTTTTATCATTATTATTATCATTATTATTATCATTATCATTATTATTATTATTATTATTATTATTATTATTATTATTATTATTATTATTATTATTATTATTATTATTATTATCATTATTATTATTATTAGAAATTAAAAAGAGAGAGAAAAATTTGTTTTTTTTTTGGCCTTAAAAATAATATAAATATGAAATTATTGAAGGATACAATCACAAAACCAATTTTTTTTTTTACAGACGTGAACACAGATTCGGCACACTTTTTCTCACTTTCATTTCACCAACTGGAACAATAAATTATAAATTAATATTTTCTCTCTCTCTCTCTCTCTCTTTCTCTCTCTTTCTCTTCCCTTATTATTCCAGTCATTAGACATAAACATTTGATTTTTTTCGTGGTTGTTTTTTTTTTTGTAAATTTCTATTAAAAATTCCTCATTAATATTAAATTAATTTTTTTAAATTATTATCATTATCATTATTATTATTATCATTATTATTATCATTGTTTCAAACAACGTTGGTTAAGCGTGAGATTCGTAAAGTTTGAGTGAATCCAATAAAAAATTAATTATTTTCTATTTTTTTTTTTTTTTTTATGCGATGCGGATTAAAAATGAATGCACGGCTGGAGAAGAAAAAA